ATATTTGTAATTATAAATATTTACACTCGTTCCGATACGAGGGTTTCATTTTTAAAAAAGAGTGCATATGAAAATAAAAATGTTTTTCAATACTAAATATTTACCCTCGTTCCGATACGAGAATTTCTTTTCTAAAAGAGTGCATATTAATTTAAAATATTTTTCAATTTTTTATTTACACTCGTTCCGATACGAGGATTTCAATATGTAAAAAGAATGCCCATTAAATTAAAAATATTTGTCAATTATAAATATTTACCCTCGTTCCGATACGAGAATTTCTTTTCTAAAAGAGTGCATATTAATTTAAAATATTTTTCAATTTTTTATTTACACTCGTTCCGATACGAGGATTTCAATATGTAAAAAGAATGCCCATTAAATTAAAAATATTTGTCAATTATAAATATTTACACTCGTTTCGATACGAGGATTTCATTTTTAAAAAAGAGTGCCTATGAAAATAATAATGTTTTTTAATACTAAATATTTACACTCGTTCCGATACGAGGATTTCATTTTTAAAAAAGAGTGCCTATGAAAATAAAAATGTTTTTCAATACTAAATATTTACCCTCGTTCCGATACGAGAATTTCTTTTCTAAAAGAGTGCATATTAATTTAAAATATTTTTCAATTTTTTATTTACACTCGTTCCGATACGAGGATTTCAATATGTAAAAAGAATGCCCATTAAATTAAAAATATTTGTCAATTATAAATATTTACACTCGTTCCGATACGAGGATTTCATTTTTAAAAAAGAGTGCCTATGAAAATAAAAATGTTTTTCAATACTAAATATTTACCCTCGTTCCGATACGAGAATTTCTTTTCTAAAAGAGTGCATATTAATTTAAAATATTTTTCAATTTTTTATTTACACTCGTTTCGATACGAGGATTTCAATATGTAAAAAGAATGCCCAATAGATTAAAAATATTTGTAATTATAAATATTTACACTCGTTCCGATACGAGGATTTCATTTTTAAAAAAGAGTGCCTACGAAAATAAAAATGTTTTTCAATACTAAATAATTACCTTTCTTCCGATACGAGGATTTCTTTTCAAAAAGAGTGCATATGAATTTAAAAAATTTTTCAAATTTATATTTACACTCGTTTCGATACGAGGATTTCAATATGTAAAAAGAATGCCCAATAAATTAAAAATATTTGTAATTATAAATATTTACACTCGTTCCGATACGAGGGTTTCATTTTTAAAAAAGAGTGCATATGGAAATAAAAATGTTTTTCAATACTAAATATTTACCCTCGTTCCGATACGAGAATTTCTTTTCTAAAAGAGTGCATATTAATTAAAAAAAAATTTTTCAATTTTTTATTTACACTCGTTCCGATACGAGGATTTCAATATGTAAAAAGAATGCCCATTAAATTAAAAATATTTGTCAATTATAAATATTTACACTCGTTCCGAAACGAGGATTTCATTTTTAAAAAAGAGTGCCTATGAAAATAAAAATGATTTTAATAATAAATATTTACCCTCGTTCCTATACGAGGATTTCATTTTTAAAAAAGAGTGCATATGAATTAAAAAATTTTTCAATTTTATATTTACACTCGTTTCGATACGAGGATTTCATTTTTAAAAAAGAGTGCCTATGAAAATAATAATGTTTTTTAATACTAAATATTTACACTCGTTCCGATACGAGGATTTCATTTTTAAAAAAGAGTGCCTATGAAAATAAAAATGTTTTTCAATACTAAAAATTTACCCTCGTTCCGATACGAGAATTTCTTTTCTAAAAGAGTGCATATTAATTTAAAATATTTTTCAATTTTTTATTTACACTCGTTCCGATACGAGGATTTCAATATGTAAAAAGAATGCCCATTAAATTAAAAATATTTGTCAATTATAAATATTTACACTCGTTCCGATACGAGGATTTCATTTTTAAAAAAGAGTGCCTATGAAAATAAAAATGTTTTTCAATACTAAATATTTACCCTCGTTCCGATACGAGAATTTCTTTTCTAAAAGAGTGCATATTAATTTAAAATATTTTTCAATTTTTTATTTACACTCGTTTCGATACGAGGATTTCAATATGTAAAAAGAATGCCCAATAGATTAAAAATATTTGTAATTATAAATATTTACACTCGTTCCGATACGAGGATTTCATTTTTAAAAAAGAGTGCCTACGAAAATAAAAATGTTTTTCAATACTAAATAATTACCTTTCTTCCGATACGAGGATTTCTTTTCAAAAAGAGTGCATATGAATTTAAAAAATTTTTCAATTTTATATTTACACTCGTTTCGATACGAGGATTTCAATATGTAAAAAGAATGCCCAATAAATTAAAAATATTTGTAATTATAAATATTTACACTCGTTCCGATACGAGGATTTCATTTTTAAAAAAGAGTGCCTATGAAAATAAAAATGATTTTAATAATAAATATTTACCCTCGTTCCTATACGAGGATTTCATTTTTAAAAAAGAGTGCATATGAATTAAAAAATTTTTCAATTTTATATTTACACTCGTTTCGATACGAGGATTTCATTTTTAAAAAAGAGTGCCTATGAAAATAATAATGTTTTTTAATACTAAATATTTACACTCGTTCCGATACGAGGATTTCATTTTTAAAAAAGAGTGCCTATGAAAATAAAAATGTTTTTCAATACTAAAAATTTACCCTCGTTCCGATACGAGAATTTCTTTTCTAAAAGAGTGCATATTAATTTAAAATATTTTTCAATTTTTTATTTACACTCGTTCCGATACGAGGATTTCAATATGTAAAAAGAATGCCCATTAAATTAAAAATATTTGTCAATTATAAATATTTACACTCGTTCCGATACGAGGATTTCATTTTTAAAAAAGAGTGCCTATGAAAATAAAAATGTTTTTCAATACTAAATATTTACCCTCGTTCCGATACGAGAATTTCTTTTCTAAAAGAGTGCATATTAATTTAAAATATTTTTCAATTTTTTATTTACACTCGTTTCGATACGAGGATTTCAATATGTAAAAAGAATGCCCAATAGATTAAAAATATTTGTAATTATAAATATTTACACTCGTTCCGATACGAGGATTTCATTTTTAAAAAAGAGTGCCTACGAAAATAAAAATGTTTTTCAATACTAAATAATTACCTTTCTTCCGATACGAGGATTTCTTTTCAAAAAGAGTGCATATGAATTTAAAAAATTTTTCAATTTTATATTTACACTCGTTTCGATACGAGGATTTCAATATGTAAAAAGAATGCCCAATAAATTAAAAATATTTGTAATTATAAATATTTACACTCGTTCCGATACGAGGGTTTCATTTTTAAAAAAGAGTGCATATGAAAATAAAAATGTTTTTCAATACTAAATATTTACCCTCGTTCCGATACGAGAATTTCTTTTCTAAAAGAGTGCATATTAATTTAAAATATTTTTCAATTTTTTATTTACACTCGTTCCGATACGAGGATTTCAATATGTAAAAAGAATGCCCATTAAATTAAAAATATTTGTCAATTATAAATATTTACACTCGTTCCGAAACGAGGATTTCATTTTTAAAAAAGAGTGCCTATGAAAATAAAAATGATTTTAATAATAAATATTTACCCTCGTTCCTATACGAGGATTTCATTTTTAAAAAAGAGTGCATATGAATTAAAAAATTTTTCAATTTTATATTTACACTCGTTTCGATACGAGGATTTCATTTTTAAAAAAGAGTGCCTATGAAAATAATAATGTTTTTTAATACTAAATATTTACACTCGTTCCGATACGAGGATTTCATTTTTAAAAAAGAGTGCCTATGAAAATAAAAATGTTTTTCAATACTAAATATTTACCCTCGTTCCGATACGAGAATTTCTTTTCTAAAAGAGTGCATATTAATTTAAAATATTTTTCAATTTTTTATTTACACTCGTTCCGATACGAGGATTTCAATATGTAAAAAGAATGCCCATTAAATTAAAAATATTTGTCAATTATAAATATTTACACTCGTTCCGATACGAGGATTTCATTTTTAAAAAAGAGTGCCTATGAAAATAAAAATGTTTTTCAATACTAAATATTTACCCTCGTTCCGATACGAGAATTTCTTTTCTAAAAGAGTGCATATTAATTTAAAATATTTTTCAATTTTTTATTTACACTCGTTTCGATACGAGGATTTCAATATGTAAAAAGAATGCCCAATAGATTAAAAATATTTGTAATTATAAATATTTACACTCGTTCCGATACGAGGATTTCATTTTTAAAAAAGAGTGCCTACGAAAATAAAAATGTTTTTCAATACTAAATAATTACCTTTCTTCCGATACGAGGATTTCTTTTCAAAAAGAGTGCATATGAATTTAAAATATTTTTCAATTTTATATTTACACTCGTTTCGATACGAGGATTTCAATGTGTAAAAAGAATTCCCATTAAATTAAAAATATTTGGCAATTATAAATATTTACACTCGCTCCGATACGAGGATTTTATTTTTAAAAAAGAGTGCTTATGAAATTAAAAATATTTAATAAATTTTAAACACACTCATTCAGATACGAGTATTTCAGATGTAAAAAATTGTGTCTAATAAATTAAAGAAATTTTTATATTTATTTATTAATAACACTCGTTTCGGTGCGAGGATTTTATGGTTAAAAGTAGTGGTTAATGTATTGAAAATAGTTTCATATTTTTTTAATAATAGCACTGGTTGGGTTAGTGGTATTTCAGTGGTGGAAAGTATTGTTTAATAATAATTGCACGCGTTTCGGTAGGATGGCTTTAAATGTGGACTGTAGTGTTTAATTAATTCATGGAATTAGAAACGTTTTTTATAATAACGTTAAATTTTTAATAAAGAATTTTTTAAAATGATAATTTATTATTATTCTATGTTAAGAATGTAATTTTGTTAAATGACAATTTAAAATATCAAAATATTAATTATGTTAATAATAACAATTTTTTTTTTATTATGCTTTTCATTTTCTTGCTCGACGATAATGAGTGTGCAGATTTCCTTGGGAATGGTGAGGATAGGGTTGCCATCTGAGTTGTTGAGGATATGGTTGCCATCTGGGATGTTGAGTGTATGGTTGCCATCGGGGATGGTTAGGGCTTGGTTGCCATCGGGGTTGGTTAGGGTTTAGTTGCCATTGAGGAATCTGAACTTTATAAAAGTTTTTTAACTTATAGGATGTTGACCTCCATGTTGGTTTCCTGTTATGTTTGTGGTTTTTATCTGAAAAATAAATTATTTGTAGGGATTTATAGACTAAAACGGTTTTAGCTGTAAATCTAGAAGAAAATATACACTTGAATGTGTAAGCGCTTAATTATTAAAAAATCTTACATTTCGAGTTCATTACATCAGTAGACTTTTGCTGATTGGACTTCTGGTAGTTTTCTTCATCTGCCTCTTTTTGTTTATCTGAAATTTTTATTCGTAGTTTCAGTTATTGAAGATATAGGGGAGATCGCGGATTGTCAAAGTTGATTAATCCTAAATTTAGAAATGAAAATAAGTGTATACACTTGCAAAAATAAATGATCGATTTTAAAAAAAATTATTACTTTCCGAGTTTTCTGCAGCTATAAGCTCCTGTTGACTTGTCAATTGCTGATTAATCTCGCTTCCATTGGAGTTTTCTTCATTTTCATCTGTTTCCTTCTCTGAAATTTACAATGAGAATTTAAAAATTGAAATTTAGAATAAAAAATGTATATTTATAATGTACCTGTATTTTCATCAATTATCATTTCCAGATTATCAAAGTTGATAATTCCTAAAGTTAGAATTGGAAATAAGTGAACGGTTTACGGTGAATCTCCGGAACCAGGTAATGTAGACAATGTCAAGTCAGTCAATTCGGACAATGTTCCCCCACAGCACCGGATATTTAAGGATATCCCTGGGACATCCTGGGGATATCCATTTGCTTGTGGCGGTTTGGATATCCCTCGGACATCCTGAGGATATCCTGGGACATCCCTGGCATATCCCAGGGATATCCAAACCGCCGCAAGGCAATGGATATCCCCAGGATGTTCTAGGGATATCCTTAAATATCCGGTGCTGTGAGGGTTGATATTAACCGGCCATTGTTTACAACTACAGATTCTGGAGATTCACTATTAAATATGCATTATAATATAATAATAGTAATAATTGATTTTTTATTACTCACTGCGAATCTCATTATTAAATGTAATTTGGTTGACGTTTATCGCATCTTCTGATAGAAAGCCGTTCTCTGGATCAGTTGTTATAGCTGAAATATTATGAAAAGATAAATTTCTAAAGAATTTTTATGCTCGATGTAAGTAAATGTATATGTCATTGTTAATTTAAAAGGGGTTTATCAGCCGAAAATAAGTTTTTTAGAAAACTACATTCAATAGATCTGTTATTACTCACTATCAATGTAACTGTCTACAGAAATTTGGCTCAGGTGTAACGCATCTATTGGTAGAAAAACGTCGGTTGGATCAGATATTATATCTGAAATATTACGAAATTAAAAATAAATTTTTATACACGACATACGTAAATGTAATGTGATTGGTCTTGGTCAGTAAAAAAGGACTTATCATCCAAAAATAATATTTCTAAAAAATAGCAGTATATACGGCCTGAAACTCATTTTTTATACTTTCAAGGTCGTTGATTACGATTCCGAAAACCCTTCAGTAACGAATTTTAAGTTACTCATTTTCACGTGCAGCAAAAAGGATTATTCAAAATGAGTAGCGTACGCAAATAATTTTGAGTTGTATGCTATTCATTTTGAGTTCAGTTTTTTTCTGTGAAGGTACTATAAACAGGATCCTTTACAAAATTCCAGGTGTCTTTTGAAAAATGGAATAAGCTGCCGTCAAGATTAAATACATAGGATTGTAAGATTTTGTATGGGATCGTTTATAGAATTCTACATAGGATTTATGTATAATATATAGAATTCTATATAGAATCCTACATATGATCCTATATGGGAAAGATTGTTATTAATAATTATTACTTATTATTGTTTATAATAATAAAGTAAATTGTTTGAGTTAGTACTCTTATATTTTAATTAATTAATTAACAGTAATTAACAAAAATTATTTTTAACCTTCGCCAGACAGGATACTTTTTATATACACGGTTGACAAGATCCCACCCAGGGTGGGCCAAATGTTTTCTTCTTTGTATATTGCAATAAAAACTTAGAATCATTCAGTTTTTTTCCAAAATTGTTATATGTTACCAAATAATATATTTTATTAATGTTTTGTTGATTTTTTATATGTTTAAACAATTTATTATTAATAATTTATAACTTTTTCAAATATACATACGACAGTAGAAGAATTTTATAAATTTGTTACCTTTTCTTCGTAGTTATTAATTCAAAGGTTATAAATAAAATAAAATATATAATTCAATTTGCAACAACTATTATTATAAATTGTTTAAACAAATAATTGTTGCTATTTATCAACATTCTTCATAATATTCCTAGAAAATTGCAATTTTTTTCTAATTTTGCAACTTAACAAGCTCAACATAATAAACATGAAGATTTTATATGAATTTAGTATTCAAACGTTTGTTTAAACAATTGTTGAATTTACAATTTTACATCAAATCTATCTTTTATTATATTCGGCTTGATGAGTTGCAAAATTTGAAAAAAACTACATCTTTCTAGGTCCGCAGAAAAAAGTAAGTAATTAACAATATTTATTTGTTTAAACAATTGTTGAATTAATAATTTTACTTCAAATCTATCTTTTATTTATTCGGCTTGATAAATTGCAAAATTAGAAAAAAACTGCATCTTTCTAGGTGCAGAACAAAGAAAGTTAGTAAATAATAACAATAATTGTTTAAACAATTGTTGAATTAATAATTTTACATCAAATCTATCTTTTATTATATTCCGCTTGATAAATTGCAAAATTAGAAAAAAACTGCATCTTTCTAGGTGCAGAACAAAGAAAGTTAATAAATAATAACAATAAATTGTTTAAACAAATGAAAAATGCAATATAATATTTTTTATATCTATTATTTGACATCATAAAACACTCACAGTGAAAAGTCTGCATGATTTGAAGTCTTTTTGTAAAATAGAATTAAAAAAATATCTGAATCATCCCGGTTATCTCCGTACATACATTGATAAAAGTTATAAATAATCAAGAAGAAATTTTTTTTTAAAATTTGTTTTTACATTTTTTGAAAGTTCTTAAGATTTTGTTCAGTGACTTAAAATCGCGATTCAATTAAGGCAAAACTTTAGAAGATATGGCAATTTCAATTTGTCTGGCCCACCCTGGGTGGGCATCTTGTCAAGCGAAGGTTAAGAATTATCCTACATAAGATCATAATGTATAGAATCCTATAATGAATTGTCAAAATAAATAACCCATATAAGTTTTCATGTTGGATCCCGCAAAGATCTTGCATAATATTCATCATATTGGTGACCTTTAAGCCAGCTTATTTTATTTCTCCTATAGAAGGTGCCCATAAGTTTTATTATAGAATCATGTATAGGATACTTTATATAGTACTTTTTACGACACTTATGAGGAATCCTTAATGATTTTTGAGTGCGATACTGATCAAAAAATACGTTCGGAAAATATTAAATTCATGCTTCTGCATTTTCAAAATTTAATCGTACAAAAATGAAAATCAATCAATGATAGGTCATATTTTACTGTCCAGATCATTATGTCATATTTGTAAGAGTTAAATTTTACCAGAGGGGATAGTAATTTCCGCTACAATGACACCTGAAATAAAAAGTAAAAATTAACGTTAATATTTTTATATACCTACAAGTAAAATTAATTACAATTAAAATTAATTAATTAATTAATCTATTGATCTGAATTTGTTGGGTTCAAATTCTAATGTATTTTTAATCAATTTTATTTTTACAATTTATTTTTAATTTTATATCACAAATAATAATTTTTTATTAGCTGATTTTTTTGGTTTAAAATTATAATTAATAATGTTATATTAATTTGATAAGGGTTGCGAGAGCTGCCAAAACGTTATTTAATAATTAAAAATAAATTGTTAAAAGTAATTGTGGAAAAAATGGGTTATAATTTTAATTTATATGAATATGTTTTGTTTTAGTTTATTGAAATATATATACTTCCACTCTATATTTTAAAATATGTACTTAAAATATAACAAGTATTACGTTAATTATTGATGCATTTATTGTATTTTATGAAAATATTGACTTCATCTTACTTTGTTACAAAAAAATAAATGTAAGTAAAAAAAAATTTTAAATGTAGGTGTAAGAAGTGATAAGGAATTTAATTACTTAATTTTTTTTAAATCGTGTAAGACCTGTAAAGTGATTTTGATTTAAAAGATTCATTCTTCCCTACTGTGTTCAAGATATGTAGGAATGTAATACCTTCCGCCTCTTCTGCGTCTTCCATTTCTTTTGTTTGCGTCTCTGGTGTTGCTTCGACGTTACTCTCTTCAATTTCAGCGGGAGAATCTACATTTATTCTTCTAAGTCTTGCCAACGGTGGAACTAGAAATTTTGAGCAATGTTATTTAATTTCAAAGTGAAAAAACTATAATTGAGTGCACGGAAAGCATAACCGACGCTGCGTTCGGACTCAGGGGGAACGCAGCGTCGGTTATGCTTTCCGTTGACTCAATTATGTTACTTATTTTCAGTTATTGGAATAGTTTTTAAGATAAATTGAAAAAAACTTACGTTTTGTGGGTTTGAAAATTTTGTTTACTTTATCATGCATTATTTTAAATGCTGCTTTGGCTGTCAACCTAAATTATTAACTACGTTATTGAAACTAACTTTCATATAGAAATTGATTATATTTGTAAACATATTCCTACCTAGGGACATCTTGCAATTTATGAATCGTATCTTCCATAATTTTGCAAAATTCAGATTTGGTCTTAGTTTTTTGTCGCTCTGTTAGTAAATCATCAAGATTTTCTGTAATCATTATGAACATAATATCAAGTTCTACAATGAAAAAGTTTGTTTTAATTGTTGTAAAATTCGAATAACTGAGAATCAATGCCAATATTGGCACTATATTGGAACGAGGTACATGTACGTTAGTGCTGGATCAATTACTTTTGCATTTTTTTGGCAGACATTACTGCGCTAATATTGGGCCAAGATAGCAATCCTGTCATTTCAAACATTCTTTGATTTTGCTTTAAATTCATTTACAATAATAATTCAAAATGAACTAAAATGTATTTAAACCCAAGCAAAAATTTATGTCAAATGCCGATATTGACAGTATCATTTCAATAATGACATGGATTAAATTTTATACTGTGCCAATACTGCAAGTCAATACTGTGCCGGTATTGTAAATACTGTAATGGCAAACCAATATTATAAAAACTCTTTTATAAAAAAAATACATAATTTATTAAGTTTTTAAACTATTTTGCTTACACTGAAAAAAATATATTTGAAACAAATAAACTGTACTTTAAGCAATAATTACGGCAATTCGAACAATTACCATTTAATGGAAGTAGGGGAGAGTGGGGCGAAACCGGGTACCTCTTTGGAATTATCGGTTTACAAAGAATCTATCAAATAAATTAGTTCAAATCTCGTTGAAAATTCTTCCTTGAACATTAAAGAATGAGAAAATAAGGTCGATTGCATGAAAAAAATTTTTGATCAATTTAAACCAGGTTTTTTAAAAAAATGCAAAGTACCCGACTGATGCCATTACTAACAACTAGTAACGGCGACCGTTATTATTCCAAATATATCCAAGTATTGGTTCTATATTGGCGACCAGTACTCTGCCAGTACAGGCGCAGCACTTATACGGTTATAAATTTTTGATTGGGAAGTGGAATTTATTTTGAAATAAAATGAAATCAAAGGGAATTAAATTTACATTAAATATATATATAAGATTTTGATAAATATTCTAATTATTTATAAATACCAACTAATTGTCCAGGTGATTTGCTCTTTTTGACTAAATCAAATTGTTTTTCCGAAATTTGAAAGACATTGTTATAAGTTGGTAAAGTTTTATCAACGATGCTAATTTTTGATCCCATTTTTGAAATTATTTGCATCACCTCGTGAGCAAAATTTTTACATTCCTCATTTTTTGCAGCAAGGAGTGCAAACTCTGAATGAGCATCCAAAATAAATTGAACAGGCACTAAGGAAATAACATACGCGGCACATAAAATTTCTGTCGTATCTTTTGATAAATTATTTCTGAGCCAAATCTCTTTCATGACCTAAATAAAATATTGTTTCTGTTAAATTAGAATTATTTTATAATGTTTACAAATAATCAAATTGTAGACTCATTAAAACGGCATATACCCAACCAAAAATTTCAGAATTATACCAGAGTTCACTACTGGTGGAGAACTGGTTCAGTATTGGCTGCCGATGCTAAGCAGTCTGTACTGAACCAGTACTGATATTTTAATTGTAGCAGTACTGTTGCAGTACAAACCTCCTAGTACTGGCAAACTAGTACTGAGCCGATATTGAGCCAGTACTGGCTCAAATAGATTTTCTTTTTGATTAATACTAGTTTACATAAAGTTGTAGAGTGAACCTGATAAATCTTTTTGTTTAAATATTTTGTTTATAAAAATTTGTTCACCTTGATTTTATTTTTCAAAATTAAAATGTATATTTCATTTTGTTTTTCTGTGGGTAAAATTATTTAAACAAAAAGTTTCCTGAGACCAATTCCAAAACATTTTGTAAGATTGTCTTATTGTTTTCAGATATGCAATAAACCAAAAAAAAATTTTAAACGATCAAACTAAAAATAAATAAATTTGTTCATAAAAATTAATATTTTTTAAAATAAAAATTTTTAAAAATTTTCTTGGCAACACTTGTTAAAAATAAAAAAAACAACTTTTATTTTCTTAAAAAAGTTTTTCAAAAATTCATTTTGATGCAAATATATGTGATTAAAAATAGATATTATACTTTAGAAAAAAACTAAAATTTATAAACCTACAAAAAATTACGTATACTTTTTTTTCTTAAAAAAATAAAAAAAAATATGTATGTTTTGTTTTATGTAAATTGAATTGAATTTAATGTTAATTAATTTATTTATTATATTTTATTGATTATTTTTTATTATTGTATATTTATTTATAAAATTCTTGGTATTTTCGATTTTTTATAATAAAATATTAATTAGTTAGTTGATTAATTTAATTAATATTTAATTTGTGTTGGGTTACTAAAAATTTATGACACTTTTTCCTAAGTATACTAAAAAAGTATTATCCGGAGCAGAGATTTCACTATTGCAGTGAAACTTATCTCTGTTACAGTTAAAACTTTCTTTTCGTATACAATAAATTAAAAAACTGCCAGTACTGGCCCAGTATTACTTGTCAGTAATATAACAGTACTGATTTTAATACAATAATACAAAAATTTAATACTGAACCAGTAGTGGTTACGAGTACTAGTGCCAACTCTGGTAAAATATTATCATCCCAAAGTTACGCCAACTCTGGCGCCAATACTGGGTGCCAGTACTGCGCCAAAAGTAAATTTTTTATTGGGTACCTGTCGAAAGTGATACCAGCTGCATTCGTATTCTGCATTTCGAAAAACTTGTTGGCAACTGATTTTTAAATCAGAATCAAAAGATCCAATAATTAATTTTACATTTCTTATGCATGGCACGGTGGGCTTGGATTAAGTTCAACCCAAAAGTCTTTGCACATCACCGTTTTCTTTTGGAATTACTTCGGGGATGTCTTCTGATTATTTTAAGACAAAAATGAAAATAATCGGTGGAGGGAAACTGAAATTATCTTGATTTTTCATTTTTTTTTATAGGTTATTCTATGTAATTTCTTTAAAAAAAGGTTTCCTTCAATTTTTTTTCTACAAAAGTTGTATTTCGGATTCAGTAAAGAATCTCTATGATAGTTAATGAATTTAAAAAATTTGAACTATTAAATTTGTTAATAAATAATGGAAGAACATGGTTTTTCATTCGTTTTTTGAAATTAACTCGTCTTGTAATTAATTTACACCAAAATTTTTCAAAGATAATTTGAAGTACATAAGATTATCTGTAAAACTGAAAAAAGAAGACTGTTCTACCTATTACCGTTCCTTAGATATGACACGTTGAAGTTGCTATTCAATGAAAAATTTAAACTTGGGAGCTCATTATTCGATGAATAATAATAATAATAATAATTTATACTACTGAAGATAAATTAATTTTATCTATCGCAAATTATTCGAAAAAGAGTCCTCTTAATTATGTTTTATTATAATTGTTATATTAGGATATTAAATAAAAGAATTCATCGAATAATGAGCTCCCAAGTTTAAATTTTTCATTGAATAGCAACTTCAACGTGTCATATCTAAGGAACGGTAATAGGTAGAACAGTCTTCTTTTTTCAGTTTTACAGATAATCTTATGTACTTCAAATTATCTTTGAAAAATTTTGGTGTAAATTAATTACAAGACGAGTTAATTTCAAAAAACGAATGAAAAACCATGTTCTTCCATTATTTATTAACAAATTTAATAGTTCAAATTTTTTAAATTCATTAACTATCATAGAGATTCTTTACTGAATCCGAAATACAACTTTTGTAGAAAAAAAATTGAAGGAAACCTTTTTTTAAAGAAATTACATAGAATAACCTATAAAAAAAAATGAAAAATCAAGATAATTTCAGTTTCCCTCCACCGATTATTTTCATTTTTGTCTTAAAATAATCAGAAGACATCCCCGAAGTAATTCCAAAAGAAAACGGTGATGTGCAAAGACTTTTGGGTTGAACTTAATCCAAGCCCACCGTGATGGGACTGATACGATTTCATTTAATATTTGATTTCTGACAGCCATAGTTACTGAGACGGTTATAACTGCACAAAATGTTATAAATGCCTTAAAAATAAAAAATACATTTTCATTAAAAAAGTAATATATTAAATTAATAATGTATTGAATATGTAATATGTTTCACACGCATATTTTTTCCGTGTACATTATTTTCAAAAAAAATGTAGTATCAATAATGTAAATATTGTAACTGGTTAAACGTTAAAAATGCATACCTTTCCTCCATCTTCAACAATAAAATTAATAAAACTTGCTTCAATCTTCTCAAAACTCAACTGCAAAATATATATTAAATAATTTTAGAAATTCTTAACTATTAATATGATACTTTAGGAACATAAAGATTTGACTCATCATAATAATTTTTTATTTATGCCAAATAAAAAATGTAATTTACTACGAATGTATTTTATCTTAAGTAAATATAATTTATTTCAAAGGAATAAATACTTTTTAGGTTATTAGATAAATATATATTTTTCTTTGAGTGTAATACTACACCATTTTTGTAAATTTAACCTAAGCATAATAATAAAATTTGAAATGTAAAATAAATTTAATATCCTGTAATAAAGCCAATATCTCTTTATAAATAATCAAATGTTAAAATAACCTGAAAGGAATCATCGATGTATAAAATGTTGATATCATTTTTAATCGGATTAATTTTAAGAATTTCCACCCCTGGTGCCACTGATTTATAATGGTTTTGTCCTTTCTTCAGTAATTTGAAAAATTGCGTGCTTGTCTTAACTTGTTCATATTTCTCCATTTTTGCCTTTAACATTCTTGGTCTCAAACCGTTAAAAGACAATGTTACTTTTTCCCTAAATTGAATAATTTAAAATATATTACCTTATATCTGTATGCAACCGAAGGTTGAAATATTTAAAGAAACATAATTAAAATAACAGCTTCATGAAATTTTTTTTCAAAAAATGTTTTTTAAAAAAAAAATTTATAAAATTGACGTATTTTCAGAAATCCTTATCTAATTTAATATATTTATGACTGCAATAAGCATACAAAATTGTAAACCAATCCGTGAAAATATTTTTTTTGAATAATGTGGTAACAAGAATAATAATAATGATAATAATAAATTAACCTGCTTTTGTAATTTAAGAAGAAATCGCCCTGAAAGCCGATTGAAGTTTGGAAACAATATTTTTTTCTTAGTATCGAACGAAAAATTGTTTTTTATATGTTTTTCAAGTCACATGAACTTTTCATTAATATCAAGAAATAAGGAGGAGATGGTAAACGTCATAATTGAAAATAATAAACATTGGGAAAAAGAAAACTGAACATAGTTCTTAATCACTTGAAATGAGTTGATAGTCACTTCATTCAAGCCGGTTTTATTATTTTTTAAATGATTTTGAAAAATTAATGATGTGATAAAAATGGTTGATTGTGAAAAAAAATTTATTGTATGAATTTGTATTACTAATTTAATAAATTTAAATTTTTCAAATTTAAAAAATGTCAAAAGTTTTTATGGTAATTCTTCGAAAATTTAATTATTTTTATATGCAATTTATATTTCGTTAATGAGGAAGTTTAACCTAAAGTTGCTCTTCTCAAAATTAACTTATGTATCAATATTTAAATTAAAATTTTTCAAAAATTGTCATAAAATTCTTTAAAACCATTCATTATTATTTTTAATGCAATTTTACGAAATTTTAATTGTTAAATATTTTTCAAATTAATATTTTCAAAAATTCAACCACCTTCAGAAAAATTTGAATTGCAATTTTTCAAAAATATTTTTTTTCAGAATTAAAAAACATACGTAAATTCAAATTCTCAAACATTATTTTTTTCAAGATTTATAAAGTTCGCTATAAGCCAAAAATAAGAATTTTGTTTCCATTTTCAGAAATATGAAATGTTTTACGTAATTTTGATAAAAGTCTTTGAATTTTCTCTGATTTCCCTGACTAATTTCACTGTTTCTAACTTTCATGGTACAAATATTAAATTATTGATAAATAAAAATATATTAATTAATTTAGTAATCTTTTCCACCTAATGGTTTTTTTTAATTTTTAAAAAAATTGTAGTAATAGTAATAAGTTAACTTTATTTTATAAATTGACAGAAGAACACCTTGAAACGACGTTTAAAAACAATAAGATTGTCTCAGAATTCAATGATAAATAAATTTTTTGAATTATGAAAAAATATAAATATTTATAAATATTGATTAATATTAAAAATAAAAAAAAATTATGTTAAAAAATAATGGAATAATAAGATAATAAAAAAGATCATACCGCTCACAAACTTGGTCAAATATTTTTCTATGACTCTCCATGGATGTTCTACACAACTCCACAATCTCATCCTCTGCTCTCTTTTTTTCAATAAAA